TGTAACAGTTTCTCAGAATGTATTCTAGTCCAGTTATCCCGTAATTTTCGTGGCTTCTCAGCAGCGTGTTTTTTGGATTGCTACTTGATGAATACAAAAAACTAAATAAAAGTTGAGATTTCTATTAGCAAAGGTGTCTAGGTGGTAATATTCACAGTTAATGTTAATTGAATAATTGTATTACACCTATATATCATACTTATTCTGTATGTAACATATATATAGTGCCTTGGGCACATCGGATAATGTACAGTACACTAAAATAGTCATGAATATGTATCATTTGGTACGTTTTTAAGATGAAGTGTACACATAATTAAAAGAATAATATATAGGTGAGTAAGTGTATGTGTTTGTAGTGCTTCGATTGACTCGACTTAGATTTAGAATGTGACTGACAGCAACAAGTTCCTAGAAAAGCTAACATCTGGAACATCAAGGCAATCAAATAGCTTGCTTGAACTATGACGACCCATTCGCCAAAATGCAGAAATGCTCGAAACACCAGCTTACAACACAGCATCAGGCAAGGAATCAGAGACAAAAAACGACCTCAAGATCGAGATCAAAAGAGTTTAGGTAATACCCCCATGTGGGGTTAGCTGGGAAGACGGAACAGGCGAAGAATAGCTTAAACCCAGCAAACTAAGCGCTCGTGGAACTGACTGGAAAATCAGGAAAAGTAGGCTCTTTTGCAACAGTCTTGTGGAGTTGGAGGTCTTCAGTCTTGACAAGCTGGCAGCAGGCTAGGTCGCAGGACAGAGCAGGCAGGTAGGAGCATCAAAGGGCAGCACACTGGTGGTGTAATTTGATGTGATTAAAGTGGCAGATTTGTAGAAGAGCCATTCTCATATATCCTGAAGCTGGTCCTAGAGATGTGGTAAAGTTTCGTCTTGTTCCCAAAGGTAAATCATAGAGGCTTGAGAAATTCCAGAACTTGCGTGAATGTGAAGTGGTGAGATTAATCGCAGGCAAAGTTGACAATTCCAGCACCCAGGCCTTTGTAGAGTTCAGTGCAGGTCATGGTGTCAGCATTTGATGGAGCAGTGTAGAAGGTAAGGCTTTACCATGTTGGTGTGCTAGAGTCATCAATATCTTCTGACGTGGATTCAGTAGACGAGTCTACCATGGTGCTAGCAGGCATCCGAGTGTTCACAAGAGCCGTGGAGAGGTGTACTGGTGGTGTATCAGCAGGTTCGGAGGCGTAGGAGACGGTGGTTGACACAGATTGAGCAGTGTTGACGGCCGTGGAGGCGGTTGTGGAAGTTTTTGGAGCAATTGCTTGGGCAGAAGGAGACAGATCTGCCGATGTAGTGAAGTTTACAACGTTAGAAAGAATCTTAAGGATGTTATCTGATGACGAAAGCAAACATGTTAAGATGGAATAGTTCGTTGATGGTGTTGAAGGTGCCAGGGTTGGCTATATTAGCAAGGTGCGTATACTCCATGCAATATAGCACCTCGGAGGGAGCAGCTTCCGGAAGTGGAGAGAGGAAGTTGTTGGGTAGACAGGACTGTTGTGTAGTTTGAAGTATTCTAGTGGAGTCGAACTGGAGTTTTGTTATGGAAGCATCTGTCTACGATTTGGAGCTATTCTTACCTTCTTTGATTTTCTTGGACAGGACTTCTTTTTTTTAGTGGGCATGTAGCTGCAAGGGTATGTTGTAGTGCCACTAGTAGTGGTGTAGGGTCTGAAGTCGTGACCTTCTTTTCCGAAGTTAGAATATAATTTATATTTTTTTAATGGAACAGTCGTTCGTTGAGTGATGGTAAAAGTAACAGTTCCAGCAGGGTGAGACATGAGCGAAACGTTCTGTTTCTATGTGGCGTGGATGTGTATGATAATATGACGTCTGCATGAAATGTCCATTATGTTGCGGTGTCCGACAGATTGTAATAAAGTTGGTAGAACTACCGACAATATGTAAAGTAAAAGGACACAAGTGCAACTAATGTGAGATTTTTATTGTGGCAACGTTTCGCTCTCCAGGAGCTTAGTCCATTATAGAGCACTTAGGTAGCCATAGCTGTGTTTGAAAAGGTGATTTTGATCATTGAAGAGGCGTTGGGAATTTGTGTGATGGTATTTACCTAGACCCAAGTGTTTTCTTCCACGATAGAGGTCTTCAGGCCAGCAACTCATGAAGATGTGACGATCTGGTCCAGTCGTTTTACAAAAACAGAACGTTCCACCAGCAAAAATGGAGAGGGAGATATGATGAACTGTCAGTCTCGGAGTGTCTTTACTGCAGTGTCGTCCATGAATTTTGATACTTCATTGACGTCAGTACAGACGACAATAAAGGAGGCCTTCAATGAGTGGACAATTGTGAATTTGACCTGAAATCAGGTTCTTACAGCGGCAGCAAGGGCTGGTTTGGTGGAGTCATTTATGACTCCACTGTCTGGTTTAATCTTCACACAATACGAAGGCATCGTGAAAGAGTAAAGTCGACAGTGTGTTGGTTACAAATTCCCCTCCCGACGGGGATCGAAGGTATACTTTTTGAAGCAGAGCGAACTGTGACTTGCCAGTAGCAAGTTCAGCAGTGGAATGCGAACGACCTTAACTGTGGACCTTCAGCAGATCCTACACAAAACGCATAAAATCCCTTAATTACTGAAAGCTGAGTTAAGCAATTCCAAATTCCCGAATATGACAGTGCATAGATGCCAACCACTAGATCGCGAGTTGAACTTGAAATCAGAGATATAGTGTCTCACAACATACAGCCTCTTAAAACGTACAGTTACGAGATGTGTGTCCCGGCTCACCCATGGAGACATACTCTACAAAAACTGGAGTCTAGCGTGAGCTGAGGAGAAAATTGTTCTCCCAGACAAAGCAGAAATGGAAGTGTTACCACCACCAGGAACAGAGAGAGAAAGAGAGAGTGCGGGCGGGCCTGCAGATCAAATGTCTGGTGACTCGTACCAGCTTAGCTGTATAGCCCTTGTGGCTTAGCGCTTCTTTTTGATTTAATAATAATAATCGTACCAGCTTAATTAACCCTAGCACGACCGCGAGACAAGCGAACAAGCAGTTTGCAGCATACTGGCAGCCAATCAAAATTCCTTCAACGAGCACCGTGAGAAGTGTAGTTATTACATCCTACGTGTGTACATTAGCTAATAATTTAAGTCAAATTATAATATAAAGCATGAAATTTTTAGTTTTCCTATTAACGAAAAACATCAGCAATATAATATTAGATGAAAAAGCAGTATATAGAGTACTCATGGCGTCCTTTTTCTGAGGTCGCTATACATACTGGTTCTGCATACTGTAACATGGGCCTGCTCATCGACACCATGCCTAGCCCTTCTAGGGTAGGGTAGGTGCCTGAGCCCGAGCTTGCAGCTCACAAGACTGTCATTCCATTAGGCCCCTTGGGGCGGGGATGGCAGACCAGAGAGCCTAGCTTGTGGTTAGGCCTGGGGACAGTTGGTCCCAAAGATGAGGAGGTACTTGTGCCTCCTCCCATGGGAGACTTAGGTCTCAGACACTCCCTAAAGAGGGAGCCAGGCCGCGCCACCACTTGGAAAAGGCCCGGGCCTGGAGAATACCGGCGAATCTTTAACAATAATAATAACATGGGTCTGACGTACACAGTGTACAGTGTCCTGAATGATTCCTTACTCATGAATCGAAATGCTATTCTTAGGTTTGCCAGGCGTCCATATGATGCAGCACTTATTTGGTTGATGCGCACCTCATGAGATGTGCTTGGTATGATACTCACCCAAGATCCTTTTCCTTGAGTGAGGTTTGTATGTACTCTTCTGCGTCTTCTTCGATCTTCCACAATCGTCATGGCTTTGCGATTGGTGGTATTAAAATCTAGGAGGCATTTGTGGGGCAAAGCATTCAGCCTGTCCGGATACCTTTGTAGTCCTACCTGATCCTCTTCTGCTTGAATTCTCCGCATTACCTTCACATCGTCTGTAAACAGTGTGTGTGTGTGAGAGAGAGAGAGAGAGAGAGAGAGACAGACAGACAGACACAGACAGACAGACAGAGGGAGTATGAGTATGTAACCCTCATAAACCTGTGTTAATATTATCTTTATTAACACAAGTGAGATATTAATATTTTAAAAAGAATCGAAAAATTTTGACTGTTTTCACTGATAACGACACTGATACTGTGGCACACCTCCATGCATACATATATACAAGCGTGCATATATATGTGCATACATGCATGCATACATACATACATAAATATAAGTAATGTAGTATCTCTTAAAACCCGGAGAAACATGAAATTAACACTCCGAAGAATGAATGCTCTCATACTTCTACCTACAATCACTCTTTTGTTTAACATCCATCACCAGCTGAAGTTAACCAAGTACATATGTTCACAAGCTCTTACACATCAGTAACTCCAAATTATTTAGACAGTTAACTTGCTTCATAGATAAATACATTGATCGTGGTTACGTCCTTCCCACATGTCTATATTCTTAAAAAACTGATGTATATGAACGGCAGACAGTCAGGAACCTAGTGAAAATATTTCTAAACAGGAATTATATTATTCGCCTTAGATGTAATTAACCACCGACAGTTGTTGCTCGCATTAACATAAATTATTTATTATGCTCCTTCTGAGGAAAAGATAACGATGCAGAAGAAACTTGTCTGACAAAATTTTGCTCTGTATAGAGTTTTACGGAGCTCTACACATAACAAAACGTTGCCACACTCATGGCTTGATCTGCACCTGAGTGTTTCTCTTCATTACTGTCAGCAGTACGTTAGTCGTCGTTGCCTTGTGTTGATATCTGCTCTCGTAAGCTGTCATCTACTTGCATTTTATACCATGAGTTAGAGCTGTCGGTGTAATTTTCAAAGCTACATAAATGAGAAATGGCTCAAGAAACCACCTATACAACCAGTTCAAAAAACATTACACTGAAAATATATTTGATCTGTAACTAATTTGGCAAGACTTCCGTGAGTTAATACACTCTGATAATATAATATCTACTTACTTTCTCCATGCTTCTTATTGCTCAAGTGTAATGTGTTGAGCAGGAGAATCTGAAGTGATAAAATGATTTTATTTTACGCTTAACTGAGTACGAGACTCTCATGGGTTTCGGTCCCAAGGAAATAAAAGTTGCTCGGCTGGAGGAGGGGGTCAAGGATAAAAGTTGCTCGGCTGGAGGGGGCGGAATGAAGTGGAGGTGTGGCAGCGAGTTTTTATTACGCGTCAGCAGCTACCCCTGCCGGTACAACACCCCGAACCTTTTTGGCAGACACCCAATACTCTAGAAATTTTTAGCGTCTTCATGGCAGCTTTTACATAGAAACAGGTCGTAACTAGGCCTCGTGTATTCTTATGAGTTACTCGTGCATGCTTTACCCCAAATGCTCTCACGGCAGTGCTCACTCACCTCTGGTATTGTTTTGTTTTCCTGATATTACGCATCTTACCTCGAGGTACTGAAAAATAAAACCCAAAAAAATCTTCTTGGAAAACACATAAAAAGGGGAAAAACTAATGATCTCATAAAAACCCAAGTTAACCAAACAAAATGCTTTCTGTTTGCTCTCTTCTATACAGTTTTTTTTTTAACGAGATGCAAAAATGAACATCCAAAATTGTACAGAATGTGAAAAGCCGTTCAAGTACTTTCTATTCAACCCTGGATGCACTTTTTCTCAATTGCATTCTAGAGCATCGCGGTATATAAAAATAGTTTTACAGAAAAGCTAACTGTTAAGAGATGAACGAGAGAGGTACTGTGGCCTTTTTTGAAAAAAACCCCACAAACATTTTTTTATATCAATCTAAAAAATTTTCAATCTCACCTTTTTATATATATATATATATATTATATATATATATTTTAATATATATATAATAATATATATATTTAAAATATATATATATATAATAAATATATATATATAATATATATAATATAAAAATTTTTATTATATAATTTTATTTATATATTTTAAATTATATTATATATATAAAATATATATTATATAATATATAATATTAAAGGTGAGATTGTAAGATTTTTTAGAGTATGTATAAAACATGTTTGTGGGGTTTTCTTTTCAATAACAAAGGCCACAGTACCTCTCTCGTTCATCTCTTAACAGTTAGCTTTTCTGTAAAACTATTTTATATACCGCGATGCTCTAGAAATGCAATTGAGAAAAAGTGCATCCAGGATTGAATAGAAAGTACATTGAACGGCTTTTCACATTCTGTACAATTTTGGATGTTCATTTTTGCATCTCGTTAAAAAAAAACTCTGTATAGAAGAGAGCTATCAGAAAGCATTTTGTTTGGTTAACTTGGGTTTTTATGAGATCATTAGTTTCCCTTGTTATGTCTTTTCCAAGAAGATTTTTTGGTTTCATCTTCAGCACCTCGAGGTAAGATGCGTAATATCAGGAAAACAAGAACATACCAGAGGTGAGTGAGCACTGCCGTGAGAGCATGGAGTAAAGCATGCACGAGTAACTCATAAGAATAGCACGAGGCCTAGTTACGACCTGTTTCTATGTAACGCTGCCATGAAGACGCTAAAAATTTCTAGAGTATTGGGTGTCTGCCAGAAGGTTCGGGGTGTTGTACCGGCAGGTGTAGCTGCTGACGCGTATATACAACTCGCTGCCACACCTCCACTTCATTCCGCCTCCTCCAGCCGAGCAACTTTTATCCTTGACGCCTCCTCCAGCCGAGCAACTTTTATCCTTGACACCTAGTGAGAGTCTCGTACTCAGTTAAGCGTAAAATAAAATCATTTTATCACTTCAGATTCTCCTGCTCAACACATTACACTTGAGCAATAAGAAGCATGGAGAAAGTAAGTAGATATTATATTATCAGAGTGTATTAACTCACGGAAGTCTTGCCAAATTAGTTACAGATCAAATATATTTTCAGTGTAATGTTTTTTGAACTGGTTGTATAGGTGGTTTCTTGAGCCATTTCTCATTTATGTAGCTTTGAAAATTACACCGACAGCTCTAACTCATGGTATAAAATGCAAGTAGATGACAGCTTACGAGAGCAGATTATCAACACAAGGCAACGACGGACTAACGTACTGCTGACAGTAATGAAGAGAAACACTCAGGTGCAGATCAAGCCATGTGTGTGGCAACGTTTTGTTATGTGTAGAGCTCCGTAAAACTCTATACAGAGCAAAATTTTGTCAGACAAGTTTCTTCTGCATCGTTATCTTTTCCTCAGAAGGAGCATAATAAATAATTTATGTTAATGCGAGCAACAACTGTCGGTGGTTAATTACATCTAAGGCGAATAATATAATTTCCGTTTAGAAATATTTTTCACTAGGTTCCTGACTGTCTCCCGTTCTATACATCAGTTTTTTTAGGAATAAGACTGGGGGAAAGGACGTAACCCGTTAAATGATTTTCTATGAAGAAATTTTAACTGTCTAAAAAATTTGGAGTTATGGTAAAAGGTTGTAAAAATATGTACTTGGTTAACTTCAGTGGTGATGGATGTTAAACAAAGAGTGTTTGTGGTAGAAGATGAGAGCATTCATTCTTGGAGGTTAATTTTGTTTCTCGGGTTTTAAGGAGATACTACTTTACTTATATTTAGTTGTAGTATGCATGATGTATGCAATAATATGCACGCTTGTATATATGTATGCATGGGGGTTTTGTCCACAGTATAGTGTCGTTTCAGTGAAAACAGTCAAAAATTTTCGATTCTTTTTAAAAAATTTAAATATTCACTTGTGTTAATAAAGATAAATTAACCGGTTTTAGGGGGTTTACATACTCATACTCCTCTGTCTGTCTGTTGGTCTGTCTTTTTGTCTTCTCTCTCTCTCTCTCTCCCACAAAACACCAAAACTGTTTACAGACGTTAAAGGGAAATGCGGAGAATTCAAGCAAAAAGGGGATCAGGTGGACTACAAAGGTACCCGGACAGGTGAATGCTTTCCCCCACAAAGCCCCTAGTTTTTAATACCCCCAATGCAAAGCCATGACGATTGTGGAAGTCGAAAGAAGACCCCAGAGTACTTTAAAACCTATAAAGGGAAAAAAGGATCTTGGGGGAGTATCTACCAAGCACATCTCTGAGGTGCGCATCAACAAAATAATGCTGCATATTTGCGCTGGCAAAAAAGAATAGCATTTCGATTAGGGAAAAGGAATCATTCAACACTGTAATTTGTTACGTTCGGCCCATGTTTTATTATTTTTAAAGTTTCGCCGGTATTCCCCCGGCCCCGGGCCTTTTTCCCAAAGTGGTGGCCGGCCTGGTCCCTTTTAGGGAGTGTCTAACCTAAGTCCCAGGAGGAGGCACAGTCCTCCTCATTTTTGGGACCAACTGTCCCCAGGCCAACCACAACAGGCCCTCTCTGGTCTGCCATCCCCCCCCCAAGGGGCCTAATGGAATGACGGGTTGGGATGCAGCTGGGCTCAGGAACCTACCCTACCCTAGAAGGGTAGCATGGTTCTTTGAGCAGGCCCATGTTACAGTATGCAAAACCCAGTTGTATAGCGACCTAGAAAAAGGACCCCATGAGTACTCATATACTGTTTTTCATCTAATATTATTTTGTGATGTTTTTCTTTAATAGGAAAACAAAAATTTTTCAGCTTTTATTATATTTGACTTAAATTATAGTAATGTACCACGTGGATGAAATAACACACTTCTCAGGGTTTTCTCGTTGAAGGAATTTTGATTGGCTCCCAGTATGTGCAAACTCTTGTTCGCTTGTCTCGCGGTGTGTGGGGTTAATTTAAAGTGGTACGATTATTATTATTAAATCAAAAAGAAGCGCTAAGCCACAAAAGGGGTAAAGCTAAGCTGGGACGAGTACAGACATTTGATCTGCAGGCCCCCCGCCTCTCTCTTTTCTCCTGTTCCGGTGGGGTGGGAACACTTCCATTTCGCTTTGTGGGAGAACAAAAATTTTTTCCCCAGCTCACGTTTGACTCCAGTTTTTTGTAGAGTATGTCTCCATGGGAGCCGGGGAAAAATCTCGTAACTGACGTTTTAAGAGGGGGTTTTTGTGAGACACTATATCTTGATTCAAGTTAATCGCCCATTAGTGGTTTGGCACTATGCACTTCATATTCGGGAATTTGGGGAATGCTTAACTCAGTTCAGTATTTAAAGGGGTTTTATGCGTTTTGTGTGGATTGTGAAGGTCCCCAGTTAGGGCGTTCCATTCCACTGCTGAACTTGTTGGCAAGTCACATCGCTCTGTCAAAAAGTTACCTTCGATCCCCGTCGGGAGGGGAATTTGAAACCCCCAAAAAAACCCCCGGGCTTTACTCTTTCACGATGCCCTTTTTTTTTGGTGAAGATTAAACCGACGTGGAGTCATAAATGACTCCCCCCAAAACAGCCCCTTTCTGCCGCTGTAAGAAAACCCGATTTCAGGTCAAAATTCACAATTTTCCTCTTGAAGGCCTCCTTTATTGTGCTGTACGACGTCAATGAAGTATCAAAATTCATGGACGACACTGCAGTAAAGACACTCAGAGACTGACAGTTCATCATATCTCCCTCTCCATTTTTGCTGGTGGAACGTTCTGTTTTTGTAAAAACGACTGGACCAGATCGTCACATCTTCATGAGTTGCTGGCCTGAAGACCTCTATCGTGGAAGAAAACACTTGGGTCTAGGTATAATACCATCACACAAATTCCCAACGCCTCTTCAATGATCAAAAATCACCTTTTCAAACACAGCTATGGCTAACCTAAGTGCTCTATAATGGACTAAGCTCCTGGAGAGCGAAACGTTTGCCACAATAAAAATCTCACATTAGTTGCACTTGTGTCCTTTTACTTTACATATTGTCGGTAGTTCTACCAACTTTATTACAATCTGTCGGACACCGCAACATAATGGACATTTCATGCAGACGTCATATTATCATACACATCCACGCCACATAGAAACAGAACGTTTCGCTCATGTCTCACCCTGCTGGAACTGTTACTTTTACCATCACTCATCGAACGACTGTTCCATTAAAAAAATATAAATTATATTCTAACTTCGGAAAAGAAGGTCACGACTTCAGACCCTACACCACTACTAGTGGCACTACAACATACCCTTGCAGC